TTACGTAGCTAATGCCATTTCCAATTTTGACTGAGCTAATTCTATAATCTAACCAAAAAACACTAACTGCATGTCACTTTCACTTGTCATTATTAACCGGTTATAATTAATGACGTTTTAAAGGGCTTAAATATGACGTTATAGATAGTAACCAAGGATAACAAACATCGCCTTAATTAAAACGGTAAATACCGCAAATTACCGGTTGATCGCTTTAAAACGGTTTATGCTTAATGTTACTACAGGGTTGGACTATCTTAGATAATGTAGGTAGATCTGAACATAAGGGATATTCGTCTGTTATTGCAACGACGGTATCTCAGTAAAAAAGAAAAGGACGAAACAAAGAATTATTAAAGATAATGCAATTCTGAGGACGTCTGCTGTCTATTCTCAAGAATTGTTTTTATTACAAATATTTGATGGCAAGTGGCCTGTTTGAGCGGGACACATGTGAGGTCTATATGAGATACAATTTCTCATTACCTAATATTAAACGAAATTCGTACATACTGAGTTTATTGGAGATCAAAAATAAATTAAGTTAAATATATTTTGAGCATTATTTCATTCACTAATTTGTACCAAACTTTGCATCGAATCCTGTTTTCTCTTAATTAACATTATCACAACGTGGGTATATAAATTATCAATTAATTAACTAGACGATCACTACACTACTAAAGGAAAAGGCCAAATACAGTATGAATTACTTTGAATTTCACAAGGGGAGGGAGGTAGTTAAATTAAAATACGGGCTTTTAATAATTAGCTACAAGACCGGGGGATGGGCAGTTACAGTATAAATTTGTTGTACCTCCAAAATGAGGAAATAAAAAACTAAACTAACTTTGTCTCTCTATCTATAACAAAATGTAGCTTAGATTTGCACTTTATAACTGATAAAAAATGCAATAATTAAAATGTTTATATTTCTGATTTATTCGATGATGATGATAATTAAATAGTTGTAGCGTTGTAGAATTATTCATAGCATTCTACTTAAACTGTGGCGATGGCTTACAAGTAGAAAAGTAAATAGTAAGTACTATCAAAATAATCGTGAAGATGTCTATTCTTCGCTAGTCAAAACTGATATTATTGTTACTTGTTATTAAATTCAAGAAATTATTGGCTAATAAATGAAATTAAACGTCAGTCGTAGAGAAAATAAATGTGACCCTTACCATTATATTAAAGGTCGAATGTTACCTTAGTTATTTTTACTTTCTGATGAGTAACGTTTTAATCATCATGCTTATTGTTGTTGTATTCAAATGTATAAATAACTTATAATTACAAAACATCTAATTATATTCGCATAAAAAATAAGTATGTTTACAATTTTCCATAACATTCTGTGGCAAATGGACACCGTCCGACGCCATATCTCTCACACAACACAACAACAACAATTTTCCAATAAATAAATGCAAACTAAAAAGAATTCAATAAAATTGTTCATATAAACCCATAATCAGATTGAATTTTACCTGATTATATTTCGTAGCTGGAAAGGCAAGGGACATAAGTCAAAAATGGCTCTATCAAAAGTCCATAATTTTGTAAATAGGTACTTCTTTTGTCAAAATGTAACTTCTCAAAAAAACTACCTAATAAACTGAATATTTGAAAACACTGCATACACAATGCACTATACACCAAAAGTTTAATTGCATCAACTGTAAAATAATGTACCTGAAGGTCTAAACGTTTAAACGAAAATATAAAAAAAAAAATTTCAAGTATTGGCTAGCATCTCGCTAGAAATCATCACATAGCTTACCTGCGGTTACCAAAAGGTAGACAAAATTATATTTTGCTGACAAACCCGAAATTAACCCCTACACTTAGATAAACTCACCCCGTAAAGATGTAAAAGCTACAAAGAAACATAATCAGAGGTAATATCGTCCTAGAAATTCGAGAAAATCTTCCTCGTGCTAACCAAAGGCTAGAAAAAAATCATTCTCGACGTAGGCCCACGGGAACCACCCCTTTATTTAAATAAACACCATTTAAAACCTTAAAAAATTCAAACTAGCCTAGTATCGACCTGAAAATTCATGGCAATCTTTCTCGTGACACCTTCAAGCTTGAAAAAAATCATCATCGACATAAAGCCACGGGAACCACCCCTTTAATTAAATAAACACACCCTTTGAAACCTTAAAAAATTCAAACAAGCCTAGTATCGACCTGAAAATTCGTAGCAATGCCTCTCGTGGTTCCTTATTGAAGCTAGAAAAAAATCGTCATCGACATAGGGACACGGGGACCACTCCTTTATTGAAATAAACACACCCCTCAGAATCTAAAAAAATTCAAACAAGCCTAGTATCGACCTGAAAATTCTTAGCAATGCCTCTCGTGACACCTTCAAGCTAAAAAAAGTCATCATCGACATTGGGCCACGGGAACCACCCCTTTACTTGAATAAACACACCCTCTAAAACCTTAAAAAATTCAAATAAATTCAAAGAAGCCTAGTATCGACCTGAAAATTTATAATAATCTCTCTCGTGGTACCTTAAAGCTATAAAAAAATCATCATCGACATAGGGCCACGGGAACCACCCCTTTATTTAAATAAACACACCCCTTAGAATCTAAAAAAATTCAAATAAATTCAAACAAGCCTAGTATCGACCTGAAAATTTATAATAATTTCTCTCTTGACACCTTCAAGCTAGAAAAAAATCATCATTAACATAGGACCACGGGAACCACCCCTTTACTTGAATAAACAAACCCTCTAACACCTTAGACAATTCAAAAAAATTCAAACAAGCCTAGTATCGACCTCAAAATTTATAATAATCTCTCTCGTCGTACTTTCAAGCGCGTGAAATTGAAATTTTTTGGATTTTCAAGCGCTTGAAAGTACGACGAGAGAGATTATTATAAAATTTCAGGTCGATACTAGGCTTGTTTGAATTTTTTGAATTTTTTTAGATTTTAAGGGGTGTGTTTATTCAACTAAAGGGGTGGTTCCCGTGGCCTTATGTCGATGATCATTTTTTTCAAGCTTGAAGGTACCACGAGAGAAATTATTATAAATTTTCAGGTCGATACTAAGCTTGTTTGGATTTTTTTGACTTGTCTAAGGTTTTAGAGGGTCTGTTTATTGAAGTAAAGGAGTCGTTCCCGTGGCCCTATATCGATGATGATTTTTTTCAAGCTTGAAGGTACCTCGAGAGAGATTATTATAAATTTTCAGGTCGATACTAGGCTTTTTTGAATTTATTTGAATTTTTTAAGGTTTTAGAGGGTGTGTTTATTCAAGTAAAGGGGTGGTTCCCGTAGCCCAATGTCGATGATGATTTTTTTTTAGCTTGAAGGTGTCACGAGAAAGATTGCCACGAATTTTCAGGTCAATACTAGGCTTGTTTGAATTTTTTTGAATTTTTTTAGATTCTGTGGGGTGTGTTTATTTCAATAAAGGGGTGGTTTTCGTGGCCCTATGTCGATGATGATTTTTTTTCCAGCTTCAAGGAACCACGAGAGGCATTGCTACGAATTTTCAGGTCGAAACTAGGCTTGTTTGGATTTTTTTGAATTTTTTAAGGTTTTAGAGGGTGTGTTTATTCAAGTAAAGGGGTGGTTCCCGTGGCCCTATGTCGATGATGATTTTTTTCAAGCTTGAAGGTACCACGAGAGAGATTATTATAAATTTTCAGGTCGATACTAGGCTTGTTTAAATTTTTTTGAATTTTTTAAGGTTTTAAAGGGTGTTTATTTAAATAAAGGGGTGGTTCCCGTGGCCCTACGTCGATAATGAATTTTTTCTAGCCTTTGGTTAGCACGAGGAAGATTCTCTCGAATTTCTACGACGATATTACCCCTGATTATGTTTCTTTGTAGCTTCTACATCTTTACGGGGTGAGTTTATCTAAGTGTAGGGGTTAATTTCGGGGTTGTCAGCAAAATATAATTTTGTCTACCTTTTGGTAACCGTAGGTAAGCTATGTGATGATTTCTAGCGAGATGCTAGCCAATTCTTGAATTTTTTTTATATTTTCGTTTAAAAAAAAAAACGTTTAGAACTTCAGGTACATGTAAAATAGCTAAATTATAGTTACGCCTTTTGTCTTTCCAGCAACGATTTGATTCAACTATTGAACACTTTTATAATCACCAAAGTTGTCTAAATAAATGTAATTTATTGTTTAATTGAACATGTCAATACTATTCAAAAAGAAGCATACAGAAATTTGGGTTTTGTCATTCGAAATGGACGCCAGTTCTCTGAGCCTAACACTTTAAAAACTATTTTTAACGCTTTTGTACGTAGTAAGCTAGAATATGCGTCCATTGTTTGGAGTCCTGGATATGAAGTATATAGCCAAGCATTAGAAAAAATTCAGCGAAAATTTGTCAAATATTTGTGGTGCAAGCTAGATGGCGTCTACCCTACTCGCAATATTCCGCAAACCATCTTGCTGAATAGATTTGATATCCTTGAATTAGGTACTCGTAGGAAATGTTATTCTATCTGCATTCTTTACAAATTATTAAATTTTAAAATTGACTGTCCCGAACTACTTCGTCAACTAATGTTTAATGTTCCTAGTATCAGAACTCGCTCCCCTTTTTATTTCTATTTTCAAACACCCAGGACAAATATTTTAAAATTTTCTCCAATGTATTTTATGTATCAAAATTTTTGTGAACTTCAAAATGATGTTGATTTATTTTCTATTTCAATTAAAGAAATAAAACGCTTAATTGTGGACTGAGTTAATTATCATAAGACGACGTAATTTTTTCTCCTAACGGAGTTTTTTTTGCGTTTTCTTATGATGTTTATTAAACGTTTATTAAACTATTTTTTGTTTACATATTTTTATGCTATTATTAGTATTTAATATTTTGTTATCATTTTTATGATGTAAATTATACTGTAATTGTAATTATTTTTGTGCCCATCCTGTAATTGGTTTTATACTGTTGGATGGTGTAACCCAAATAAATAAATAAAAAATAAATAATAGACTTACCAATTTCACCTCCCATTTTATCTAGGGCAGCTTTCAATTTATCTTCTGAACGTCCAGATACACCCCATGACAAGTTTCTTCCATTCTCCTTTGCTAGTTTGTGTAAATAAGGAATGCAGTGTATGCCTGTAAAACCTGTTGCGCCTAGTAATATTATATCAAGGCGTTCTGCATCAGGCGCCATTATAACACTGATAATACTACGAAAACAAATTTTATTATAATTTTTAATGAGTAAAGAGGAACTTTTGGTTAAAATACATTGGGAAAAACTTGTTAATTACTTACTAATTTTCACTAATTTGCTTTTAAATGCTTTTTAGAATTAGGGATGTACCAGATTGAGTATTTAGCTGATCTGGCCAGAATCGGAATTCTGGCTGGATCGAGACCTATATGGAAGTACTCCAACAGCTTAACGTAATATAAAACTCCGTAATTACCGCAAATTTTGCAGATCTATTCATACCAAAATATTATAAAATGAGCAACAGTAAAAAAAAAAACAATTAAAAATTATTTTACAAAATTACCAAATAATTTAACGAAATGAGCTCAAAATTAAACAGGCACAGCTAAAACCTGAGAATGAGCTTCATGTGAAGTGCCAACATGTTTCTATACCACCTGTGGTAAAAGGACCTTAATTTATTACATACCGCATTATTGCAAACATGGCTTTAAAACTGTTAGATAAAAGCATCGAGATAGAATAAGTAGATGCTATGATGATACTAAAAGTGTTCACACCTTTTAATTACTCGAACTAGTGGAGCTAGTCAGTTTGGGTTAGAATAATTGCTTAATTTAAATGATATAACATTCTGTGAATCTTCAAATATAAAATTATCGACTTCAAATAAATGAAACTTCGACCATAAGTTGCCATTTTGATTAAACTTTTACATCACTATTGGCACCGCTAAGGGCATCCATCTGTCATATCACAAAATAGTGTTTATGTTGTCTCTACTTCATTTTATCTCGATGGATAAGTCATTGCTTTTTAACAACTTTCAATCCAATACAGTTCAAAGTGTTTTCCTTGTTATATTTAACTTATTTTAAAATTTTCGAAAATTCCTGCCATATCTCAATTGTGAGCCGGCAGAACTAGGTCAGAAATTCCGGTACATCCCTACTAAGAATATAGTTAATATCTGATTGGAACTAGAGATAAACAGGTAGAAATAAATAATAAAAGATAATAAATAGGCCAGGTAGGAAGACTTTATAATATACTCATGCAAGAACACATTTTTAAGAAAAATTTAATTAAAACAATAAAGAAACCTACCTATATTCTGTCACTTATAGGACCTTTAAGAAATTAGTTTAAATAAAATATAACTGAATTAAAGAACTAATGTGATAGGTACTATAATAATTATGTTGTAGTTACCTAGTAAATGTTAACCTTCGTACCGAATATTTTCATGACCTTTGTGACTTTTTATAATAATATAACAGGTATATTTCGACTATATAAATAGAGTAAAACAACATTAAAACAATGAACAGCGAGAATAAATTTTATTTTATATCCCCTATTTCCTGAGCTAAAGCTTTTGAAAGTATTATTTACTTACTGTTGCAATTAAATAAAAGTTGATTTATGGAATATTTCAATTCCACACAGTTTATCGATATCACTGTCTGTTTCGGCAATAATACTGGCACTGTGGCACTATTAAATGCGTAAATAGATACGACACGTAAGCAGTAACTTTAAATTTATTTTAAATGTTACTGTAAGTTGTGGCGCTTTATTAAATTATACTATCTGCTTTACTGATTATTAATAGATTAAAGAAATGATAATGATTAAATGATTTTCACTTGACAATCGGCGTTTTTAAATTTTAAATATTGGTATTTTTGAAAACATTCATATACATAACCTCTAACTGTTTTCTTCTTTTTCTTCGATCAGGATCACCTGTGATCTGTAATTAGTGGTGCGAGCAGTGTCTATTTTGTGTCTACTATGCCCGTATTTATAAACAAAACTCAGCTGAGTCGGACTTGGGCACATACTTTGATTACTATACGGAGCAAGAGAGAGGTCCGACACGCCCAACATAGGGCGCGGCCGTTTTGAACCCTATGACACAGTTTATAGCTAAAGAATCAGATCGCTCACTCTGTGTCGGCACTTTTTATCTCAATGTTCCAGTTTATACACTGCGCAATTCAGATAATACAATATATGACAACCGCCTATAATAAAACAGCAGTCTTCTGCGTATCCTGAATTTGTATCCCTGGAGTGGATGTTATTTTGGAACTTTCAACTGGTCCGAGTGAGCTAACTGATTCTTTAGCAATAAACTATGACTCCAAAAATAATAGGTCTTTTCCTTTGCATCGAAAGTGTAGCACTGAGCTACGTCACTTCTGAAAATATCGTTCCATCCATACAATTTGTATATATGGAACGATATTTTCAGAATTGGTGTAGCCCAGTGCTACACTTTCGATACAAAGGAAAATACCTATTAGGTCTTTTCCTTTGCATCGAAAGTGTAGCACTGAGCTACACCAGTTCTGAAAATATCGTTCTGTTTATACAAATTGTATGGATAGAACGATATTTTCAGAAGTGACGTAGCTCAGCGCTACACTTTCGATGCAAAGGAAAAGACCTAATATTCACTGACACTGACAGCAGCAAGCAAAATATCAGGTGCGTTTTAATCATCCGCTTCTGCTTCCGGAATTGTCGGTTCAGTCGTTCTAACCTGTCAGATTAAAACAAGAAAACCGACAATTCCGAAGCAGAAGCGGACGATTAAAACGCACCCATTAAAAATATTGCGCCAAGATGTAGGCAACACGTAATAAGGGTTCAAAATGGCGGAGTTTTCTATCTCCTTTTAAAAGGCACTCAGAAAGCTGCGCAGTGCGACCATTCTCCGTATAGTAAAAGAAAATCAAAGTATGTGGACTTGGGTAAGTCGTCCTTGAACGAAAATCGAAGTTCGGTTTTATCGCGTGAATTTAGAGATGGGTAGTAACAAATCCGTAAATGTACATAACAGTTACATATTTGCTAATATCCATCTCTAAATTCCAGTCAAACACCAGAACCACCTAGAACTTTAGAGACGTTGTAACCGAACTTCGATTTTAGTTCAAGGACGACTTACCCAAGTCCGACTCACGTAAGTTCTGTTTATAAATACGGGCCCGATATCGGTTGTTTAAAGTTTTTTATTTCTGACAAGGATATTATAAGCTTATATCGTCATAGTTACGCTATCAATAAAGAGGATCACTACAGTACTCACTCACACAGTACTACCAAAGGGGTAGGTATTCTTTGGTACTACAGAAGCGAAGCGAGCCGCCGGAACGCGTTTAGGAAACACGCTCCGACCAAAAAGAGCGCGATCAATTTGGTCTTGGTTCGTTCAAGAACAGTTGAGCGTTCAATTTGGACGTTTAGCTGGTTTAGCTACTCTCGTTCAGAAAGTCGAGTCAAATTAGTCTAGAGTGTACTCTTTTTTACCCAGTTTAGACCAATGAACTGGAGTGGGGTAGAATGCTTGTCAATAGACTTGATGTGCGACTCTATGGGCGAAGATAGGTTATTTTTTATCTCACTCGGGAGTATTTAAAATAGCCAGTTTCTATTTCACATTGTTATTGTCTGATCCACCAGCTTGTGGATTGAACAATAACAATGTGAAACAGAAAATGGTTATTATAAATAGTCCCGAGTGAGATGAACAATAAAAATGGCTGCGCCCATCGAGTCGCACCTTGTTCTAATAGTACAACATGTACATTGGCATTCTACGCCCTCCAGTTCATTGGTTTAGACTGGGTTTATTTGAGTAAATTTGACAGAACGTAGAGTTCTTTTGCAGAAGTTGCTGTATCATATTATTTTTGTGTCATAAATAAGGTGTTTGTACATGGCATTTTATAGGGTTGTTTGTTTTAAAATAAACAATCTAAAACATCTAAAATGTATTGTCTTATTGACTTTATAGATCATTCATTATAATCTCGATTATAAATATATTGAAATAAAAAGAAAAAAAAACAACTAAAAAAATTAATAAGTAAAAATAAAAACTATACGAAACACGAGTAACAACGAGAAGCGAGGAATATCTAAAAATGTCTGTAAACAAATAACTGTAAAAAACTTTAATTTTCAAATTCGTTGACGTTTACTTCCGTTGCCGTTCAGAAATGTTGGGACAATGAGAATTACTCTAGAGTAGTCTGGGCAAACGATCTTAGAAAATTAGTCTACTCCCGTGTAAAATCATCTGAACGCGCTCCTGTATTTGGAGTAATAAGGTCCGTATTTATTTTAGAACATATATAGTCAGGAAGGAGCATGCCATGTCCGCGTTAATCTAATCGATCTGACGGAAGTGGTAGCCATGTTGTAGTATGGATAGATGGTTTCTAAAATTGGTTTATAATTTTAGTGATAAAAATTTGTAAATAATTTGGATGTTTTATGTGTTAATTTAAACTTTTATCAAGCGTATGTTTTGTAGACATTTTTAAAAAGTGTTTAGTGTTTTAGTATTTATTTAGTATTACTGTTAATTTTAAATTTTCTGCGTTAAAAGACAAAAAAGACATGGTCAGTTGTTCGTCTTGTGGATATAGCAGCACAGGTAAAAGTAGAAAGGAATAATCTACATTTTATAAGCAAGTATTTTGTTCTCTCAATTTTCAACCACATTAAAGATTTTAAAATTTTTTAATGTTTTAAATTTGTAAACAAACAGGGTAAGTGCGTCTGCGGTCAACTGTGCTCATAGGCGTAGTCTCATGGTTTATAGGGTATACATACTTTTATTTAAATAATTCTTTTATGCAATTTTAAGATATTTATGTGGTTGTTAAAATGAATAAATTATTGTTCAATTTAGATTTATAAATTCATTGCAAGTAAACAATTTTCAGATTTCTTAAAGATTCTAGATTTACAAATTATATAAATTAATCCCAGATTTCCTAAAGATTCTCAAAAAACAAAGTTATGGCTTGAGTTCATGCAACAAACAAATTGTGAGCCAAAATATCTTAATTTTTTGTGTTCACGCCATTTTAATAAAGCAGATTGTTTTGATCGAACCTCAAAACTAAGAATAAGACTTCTACCAACAGCTGTTCCAACAATAAAAGTGGTCCAGTTAAAGTATATAAGTAAATAAATTCCTTACTATCTATATCATATATGTGCCGTTTTTTTCGTATAATAGAAGTTTATTGTATGAATGTGGTGCACTCTATATAATTCATTACAAAGTTATTTACAAAAACGAACACAAATAGAATTATTAATAATATCTTAAGTAAGGAAATAGCATATCGCTTGCCTCAAGATAATGTCTTAGGTCCTATCTTGTTTAATTTTATTTTAAATAATTTGTCGTTTAAATACAGATGGAAATTGTAAGTAATTGTAAGTTTTTCAGACGACACAGTTATTCTGTAAAATGCAGAGAACTGGAATTGAATAAAATTATTAATAGAAACAGATCTTATAAAAATTTTCAAATGATTTAATTACAAAAACTTACAAACCTTTGATAAAACTTATGTTGTTCCATTATACAATTACAAAAAGATGGCCTTTTCCTATAGAAACTATAAAAGGTAACGTTCAGTAGTTTCATATAAGTACTACAAATGTTATCAAATACCTCTTAGCATCGATTCCACCGTTGTGTTAAACGAAGTTTAAAATGACATTTTTACATTAACAATGTCATTTTAATCTCCGTTTAACACAACGGTGGAATCGGCCCTTAGAGTACAAATTGACTCTTATCATAACTGGACTAAGCATACAAATAAAGCGTTGAATGTACATTTAAAAATAATCTATTTTGCACTCATATGGAATAATTATTACAGGATCCTTTCTTGGAAAGGTGTTTTACCTGCTTATGCAAAAAGTGCTGCAAAAAATATTACTAATAATATTATGTAATAAAATGATCAGAAATTATCTTCAATATTAGGAAGTTTTATATGTACTCAAAAAAAAATCTAAGAAAGAAATATCACAGCGGTGTTTAACCTAAATATAAGTATAGGATATTTAATTTTATTTAACGCATATCTACAAAACATATTTATTTTTCAAGCCTTTATGATTTGTAAAATGTAGATTAATAAAGACGTAAAAAAGTCAATCGTTCTTTTTAATACATTATTGCTTTGATTTTTCAAATTAAATCTCTCTATAAATTATCCCAAAAATATTTTCCTATACTTATCCCACCTAAAATGCAATTTTAAAGTAAAATTTATTCTCATAATGACAGTTAATAAAAAAAGTGCAAACTTCTCGCAAGAAAATAGCAATTCGTTAAAATGATAAATTTAGATAATATGCAAATGAGAATTTATTATTTTCTTTTCTACGCCCCTTTATGACAGTACATCACTGGTAACCGAAAACACTTGTCGCCATATTCGTCTAGTTCACTGTCAAAATTAGATACCATCGCGATTCCAATGTCGTTCCAGATTCCTCCTTCCTGACTATATATATTCTAAGGTATTTATATAAACAGAACCATAGATTACTAATGTGAATAGATGGGAAACTCAATGGTAAAATTTTGAGTCGATGTGCTGCCATCTATCAAATTGGAGTGGTACTAAAATTCAATATGGCCGCCACGAGCGGGCTTTTTGAAATTTAACTTTGTAGTAGCGCAAAAATGTAATGAAGAAAATCAAATAAAGCAAAAAATTGGAAAAATATTTGACTAGTTTCAAATCATAAAACAACCATATTGGCTGTTTTGTGATTTGAAATTAGTCAAATATTTTGCCAATTTATATCTTTATTTGATTTTACTTCATTATATTTTTGCATTAATTTCAAACTTGAAATAAAATGCAATTTATTTTATTTTTTTTATTACAGTAAATTAACGCCGCATCATATAATTTGTCTATTTAAACATGGAAATACTCAAACAAATATACATTTACACCATTTAAATAATTAAATATTTATAAAACAAACCTATCAAAAATGTTTTCTGTAACAAA